GTCTTTTTTTTCAAGTTTGAAAAGTGCAAGTTCCACGCCTGTTTTGCGGAGCAGATCCAGAAATGATTAGGGCAGTAACAAAGTGGACCAAACCCTCCACCCACATGCAGTTTCATCATTTCTTGGACTGTGCTTACTTCTATCACTGATTCCTTCATGTCTTCCTCTATTCCCTTCACATGGATCACCAGGCTAAGCAAGCATTCATTAAATTCAGGAGTCTCTTCACCTCCAACCTGACCCCTACCACCATGTCATTGTGGAAGTGGACAGTTTAGACACTGGGGAGGGGTGATGCTGTCCTTGTGTTTCGGTTCTGGACAAACACTCCCTCCCTCCCTTCTCCCATTGACTCACTCCAGCCAAGGGCATGTATGATGTGGGTGGCAGAAGGTTAATGGCCGTAAAACTTGCTTTGGTGGAGTGGAGACGCTAAGCAGCTTGTAAAGCCTGAAGAACTGTTCCTATATTCAAACACCCTAAATTCCGTCAGACCCGATGGGCCCTGGTTTTTGAAAGGTTCAACTTCCACCTCATTTACCTTCCTGGCTCCAGAAATGTCAAACCTGATGCTCTCTCCTGCCAGCATGTTTTTGGGGACTCTTCACCTGACCCAGACACCATTATTCTTGCTGTTTGTATGGTGGTAGCCACCTCTTCTGAAACTGATGTGGTTAAAGAGGCTCAACCAGTTCAACCCAACAAAAGTATAGTCCTCCAAACTGCCTGCTAGTTTGTGATTCTGTCTCTTATTGCATCCTCCAATGGGGTCATACTTCCGTTTTACCCATTAACGTGTTATCAGCTGAACGTGGGTCACAAGGTTTTTATTGATTACTTCTCTAAAGCCATCCATTTTGTGGCTTTTACAAAACTTACATCCATTTGGATTTTTGCTGGACATAGTCTCTTATCAAGGTCCACAATTCATATTACAGGTATGGAGGGCTCTTTGTCAGAGTTTCAGGACCATTCTGAGTGTCCTCAGGATTCCATCCTCAAGCAATGGTGAAACTGAGGAAGCCAACCATGACCTCGAAGCTTCCCTGTGCTTTGCTGCAGCCTCCAACCCCTTGCCATCCAGGTGGAACAAGCTCGCAATTCTTTCACAAGTGCAGCCACAGGTTTGTACCATTTCAACTCTTACTTGGGTTTTTAACTGCCCTTGTTTCACTCCCAGGAGAGAGACTTAGCTGTGCCCTCTGTCACTGTCGTAAAATCTGGAGGGAAACCCAGTCTCGTGCTTTGCTCTGCTCACCACAACCGACACCGCCCTGACTGCCATGTGCTCCAGCTTATACACTAAGTCAGAAAGTTTGGTTTTCCTCAAAATATGCCTCCCAAAATTGAAACCATTGAATTCACACAACCGTCCACGTATTACAGCTGAAACCAGTGTCTTGCAGTCCTCTGCGATGTTCACCTCTCAAGGTCTATCTTTGTGTAGTCTTTGTCTGGAGGCTCTGCACAACTCCTTACTGGCACACGTGTTCCTTATCCAGTCATTACAGTCTTGCTGCAGTGCCCCAGCTCTTCACTCTATTGGCAAAATAGTTCAGTCTCCCAAGTGGTACAAACGCTACAGCCAACTTTCTATTTTGTGCTACTGCTCCTTGTGATTATCTGGTCCGATTTAAACCTGTTTCCCTGTGTCCCAGAGACCTCTCCTCCAAGTTCTGATTGCCTGCCTACACTGCTCTAGCTCATCACTGCCAGCCATTCGGCTCAGTCTTCACACTGCTCTACCTGCCAGTCGCCTGTTCCAAACTCCACATTGACATCCGCCATTACCTCACCTGCCATGCTTCAGCTCCTCTCATTATCTACTCACCGGCCACTGCTTGCCAGACCTCTATTCATCCATCAGTTATGCTTTAGCTACATTCATCCAGTCCGCATCTGCTCAACCTTTCACGCATATTAAACTCAGGCTTTGGTCTGTTTGTGTCTTGATACTGCTGGTCATACAACATAGATTTGTAGAATCAATGCCAAAGTGCACTGAAGTTGATCTGGGGGTAGGTAGTGGCCTAACATCTTACTAAGACACTTTATCTTACAGCTGAGTCCTGAGGTCAGTTAAGCTTGGTTTTAGTTTACTGTAATTCATCTGTTTATTCAAGTCTAATTTTTTTTTGCATTTTTTCTATCATAGCAGGATATTTGCATCTGTGACATTATTGTGTCTTTGGCTACAGTACAGAATGTGACCTCTCTAATCCATAAAGTACAAACAGGTAGTCAAGCAACAATGAAAACACATATCATTGTGCCACAAGTTACTGTAGTTTATTGTCATCTCACATGAAGAGAGTTTTCAGTATGGAAAACAGAAATAAACTCTGCATGTGTCTTTAATGTATGGGCATTTTTCACAATGTCCCATTTTTATGGTGTCAAAAGGTGAACCTTTTCCTCATCCTCTGGTTATTTTGAATAGCAGTCACACATATAGTCAAAATGTCAGAGAGGGAGCTGCCAGTTAAGCAGAAGCAGAGACTTGGGGTCTAACAGTTACCTGTACCAGCATTTGTTCATCAGCATGAGATTTCTAAACTCTCATGGTGGCACAGCTTTCAACTAAAACTAAATATACCAGAACAATAGAGTTTCAGCTATGTCTTTTGCTTTTGGTGTGTCAACCCAAGATTTTTTAGTGGCCCCATCGTGCCACAAAAATTTCTGTAGACGCCTCTGCTCCAGACAGTGTTAGCGACGGGGCAGACAGCAAGCCTTTTACAGATATCCTGAGCCTACTGCCAGTTGCACCAACACCTACATGTGAATTATTCACATGTGTTCTGTGTCACAGGGAAACTGGCCATGCTTGTGTAATTTTGCAGTGTTTATACAACTTCAGAAATATCTAGTACCTCACCTTCAAAACACAGCTCCACTCTATGCATTCCTCTGCCGCTGTCTGTACATTACCACAGTAGTTTCACCGCTGATAGTCTACTTTTCTATGTAGCTAAACAGAGCTCACAAAGTGCTAACTACAAATAAAGAGACAGGAAGCCAAAAAGCACATCTGCAAATTAAAAACAAGGATAACACAAAAAAAAGCTACATACTGAGAGCAGCTGAGAAAGAGCCGTGGCTATCCCTCCAGCACAGAAACATGATTTTAGCGGCCAAAGGCAAACGTATGGGGAGGAATAGGAAAGTCTGACCCGGTGCCACGAATCAGAATTGGGGTTGACAACGGTAAGTGATTGATAACGCCATCAATCGAAGCCTGATCCTTTGTTTGCATCCGCTGTCGCTTGGGTTTTAGAAAGGGAGGGCACAAATTGTATAGGACACTTTGCATAAAATAAATGAGCTCTGGCTAGAGGACATTAAACATCTCTGTTATGGTACCCGTTGCTAGCTGAACTCGCACAATGCTCTCGGCTTACCAACACAGAACTGACCATAGCCCTGGGACCACCTCTTTGGGTCGCGAGGCTATTAAACGGCAAGAGGTTCCACCTGGTGGTGCAACGATGTACTACAGCGCATTTACAATACATGGTCTGACATGCATATCGAGAAAACATATTTTTGGCGTATTTTGGAGCTTTGGTATCCACTACTTTGGCCCTACTAGAGCTTCACAAGATTTGCAACCCACTATGTAACATTAAGGAGCCGCTTGGATGCAGATTGCAATTTTTTCATAATGCACTGCAGAGCTATTCACTTGTCGAGCATATACATTCGATGGATTTGAATAACTTTACTGTATTTGAAGTGTGTGTTATATAGGAAAATGGTATCGGATTTGGACTTAGTACTGACACCCCCATGCCTGTATGAGTTTTCTTTTAATGTTGAGCACACAGCTCCCAATATCTGGGTATGTTGAGTACAAGCAAAGTGAGACAAATGCATTTGAAGAAGTGCAAATAAGCACATCAAGTGCACAGACAGTGAACTGAAAGCTTAATAAAGATATTGTGTGCTTACTCACTGAAGATGAGTGCACTTTGCCATGGTCTGCCAGCTCACAGCTCACTTGCATTCACTCGACTTTCTGCTCGGGCTTTATTCACTCGCTGCTCGCTCTCATCTTGCTGCCTACCTGCACTCTACTTGCTTTTCTGCTTGCTCTCAAAAGTGTTATTGAGAACTATTGAATTTTCCCTACAGCTGCCGCCATCAAACAGTAGGAATGATACAAGTGTTTGACGACAGTCTCTGATTTGAGAGAGGGACTTTGTAATTTGCACAGCAGCAACTCCGTTAATCTTTTAAAATTCTTGATGCAGCAATGGAATCAGTCAGGTTTTAACAGTAAATAATGGTCCATGTGTAATGCCACAAGTCTCAGAAACAGTTTTCTTTACCTGTTGCTGCTTTTAAAGGGGATGAGAGGAGTGCATATGATTGGATATTACTGAAGCTTGACACTGCTCCACCTGCTCATTTTGTGTTCCCCCTATTCATAATGCATGTAGCCTGATTTTAAGGCTGCACACATTTATTTAGTATTTGCAAAATAACTATTACCTACTGGACAATTCTTATCCAGTGGACAACTTCCACAAGTGCAAAGTGGACATGAGTAGTTGAAGTCTGCATTGTGCAAACGCAGAGAATGGACTCTCAGTGATACAGTGATGAGGATATCTGATGTCCCGTACCTTTTAAACCGAACAGCATTTAATTATTTATAGAGTGTGAATTTTTCAGTGGGGGAGAAGGTGTAGATGTCATTTTAAGATCTTCTAACAAAGCAATTATCTTGCCGACTTGCCCCGAAGCGAGCGCTTAAACCAACCACCTGTTTAACAAAATCAAAATAAGCTCTGTCATTCCAGAGGTTTGGCAGCAGAGTTCATCGAAGTGTTTTTGTCACACAGAAACAAGTAAACAACATGACCACAAACCTCTTCCTGACAAAGACTTCGCTTCACTCCCATGATCAGACCTGCTGGGTCCTTATAGCCCAGCCTGACCAGTATGTAAGTCCAAAAAGTCCTAAAATTGAATATATAAATACAAAAATCACATACCTCTTGTTGAAGATGACTCCCAGCAGCTGCCCGGCGAAAGCAATTGCCGCAAAGAGCAGCAGTGCTTTCCACATCCAAACTGGACCCAAACGTCCACATACTAGCCACCGCAACATCCTGGAAGGAGAGACGGAAGAGGCAAGGTGAGGATGGATGGATGCATGGATGGATAAAGGCAGGGCAAAGAACGGGATTAAGACGAGAAACAAAGATGGTCAGACAGAAAATGGTGGGTCAGAGAGCAGAGGAGGGGTAGTTGAATGAGCGAAATGAGAAAAAGATAATAAAAGAAGCATGGAATAAAGCATAGAGCATAGAATAGAGGGACAAAGGGATGGTGGGGATGGAGAGATGATGTTGGGTGGGTGAGGGCGAGTGACAAAGCGAGATGATGTTATGTAAAAAACAAGGCAATAAAGAGAAGGGCACAGCGTGGGAGAGAGAAAAGTGGGGTGGTGGGGGGGGGGAAGGTTACAGGGGCAAAAAGAGGGATAGCGACAGTGAGAGATCTGGGTGAGTCATAAGACAAACATGACTAAGGCATTATCATCATCACAGAGAGGACAGCAGTCTAAAAATATCTAGAGAGAGGACCTGCTGCATTCCTTAGATTGTCACTACTTGTTCGGAATGAAGTATCCAAAATATTTCTGAAAAAATGTGATGCTTAAGATGAGGATAAAGATATGGTGCTTGACAGTTCACATGACGATATAAATGACTGTTATTATCTTCCCCTGACAAATCCTCTTGAAGAAATATGCATATTTTTACACATTGACTTAAACATCTACCATGTAATTATAATTAATTGGTGCCCAGGGGTTAGGTCATTGTGGTGAGTGCTGTTAATTAAGAAGTAGGATTTCCACATTACGCATTTCTAAATAGCAACAATACATCAAGATAATTCTGTTATAATTAACTAAATTAATTATGAAGTTATCACAGTAGCTCCAAATGATACACCTTCTGATGACACACAAGTGAACAAACATCTATATTCAATCACAAATGCGGTTCTAGGGCTGCAAAAATATATGTTTCTTTTAATTAAGATCATGATTCTGGCTTCCTACAATTGCATGAACAAGATCAGCTGCACTCATTAAATGTGGTTCTCATGGAAAACTCTGCAAGGAGAAAACTTTGCATATACTTAAATATAAATGCTGACAATCTTTACATCAATGCAAAACTAGAGTACGCAAATCAGGACAAAAACTTATCATCACACAAGGTTGACTGACTTGCAGCAGCCTTTGATTCTCCTCCTATAACGTCAAACCCGAGAGACAGGGAGAGGCTCCGCATGAGGAATTCTTTGCTGATATAGACATTACTGGGATAAACTATACCATATTCTCAGTGGTGTAGAAACTGGTTTTGGGAGGGGGACAGGCAAAGTCTTAACAGTGCTCTGCTCCATCACACATTTTCCTTGTTAAGTAATAAAAACACTAAACAGCTGTACACACACTAAAGCAGCTGAAAGGACCATCTTCATCAAATTCAACCACTTTACCAAGTGTTACTGAACTGTCACTAAAACAACTGAGTTGATCGGATTTATAACAAAAGGTCCCTGCTTGCCAAATAAGTCTGAAACCGTCACACAGTTTGTGCGTGAAAAGATCTGCAGGTTTGTCTTCCTCGCACGTTATATGAGGACACCCTGACTTTAAATTGTGCTGCTCGGATGTGATTACAGTTTCTAGAAAGAGATCATTCTGTGGAATTTTTCAACATCTTAGGAGAGTTTATTTTGAAATATTTTACACTAAATAATAAATTTAGAAAAACATTAATTCATTTCTTTATAAATAATGATAATTCATCATCAGCCACGGAATTATACAACACTTTTTTTTCACAGATATTGCTTAAACAACTGGTGACAGCTACGTGATTGACTGAGCAACAGAAAAGGCATCAGCATGCAAAAAATAATAATTTTAATTAAAAATTCAGAGTGAACAGTTGCTGCTTTTGGGTTTTGGTTGGTGACAAAAAAAACAAAAAAAAAACAGCTCATCTCTTTTCACTCTTACTGCTACAATCTGACATTTTAAAAATTGAATAATTATGTGATTAATTGCAAAAAAAAGAAGAAAAAAGTAATCAACAGATTGATTCATAATGAACTTTAATGTTTGTTGCTGTCCTAATTAAATAGCCTAAAAAGTCTATGAAAATCTATGAATGTTTAGTATGTAAAAAAATAAAATAATCATAATAATAAATAAATAAAAAATAGAAATTCCAGAGTGAAGGGTTGCTGCTTTTCTCTTTTAATTTCACTAGATATCTAATATATTAAATTGCCAAAACAGGCTTAAGAATCTATGGCTGTTTAATATGTAAATAAATAAATAAGAATATAGAAAAAATAAGAAACAAAAATTCTGTGAAGAGTTGCTGCTTTTCTCTTTTAATGTCACTGTAATGTTAATATTTCTGGGCTTTCTGTTGGTGACAATAGACATCATCATCTCACACTCTGGGCTGTTTCACTACTATAATCTGACATTTTAGAATCTTAATATTTGTGTGAATAATTGCAGAAAGTAATCAACATATTGATCCATAATGAAATGTATTGTTTACTGGTGTCCTTATTAAATTGCCTTAACATGCTAAAGAATCTATGAATGTTTATTATGTTAAAAAAGAAAAGAAAAGAAAGAAATTGTCTGCAAAGGCTGAACAAACCAGAGTATAAAATGATCAGGTGTTGTGTCCCATCAGGATCCAAAAATAAACAAGGAGCACACACAGGCTCTGTGTGTTCTCACCGCGGCCTGGGAGCCACTAATCACCCCTCTGATGAAACCACATTAGAACATCTGGAAAGCAGAGGTGTGATCGCAGCTTCAGAGGCCGACCATCATACAATAGGAGCGATGTGCAGCGAGCGGAGCGGCCACCACCCCACAAGCTCTCCGCCACAACACAAAGGAGCATTCAAGTCCGCAACACAGCTTCCGAGCACCACAACACGCTCACGCAAACGCGGGGCGTAAAACAGGCAGGAACGGATCCTCGCGCTTAGATAAAGAGCCGACAAAATATTCAGATATTCACAGGCCTTCGCTGGTGAATGAAGCCCCTCCACCCACAAGCTTCTCCTCTTTCCCCTGCAGATTTTACAAGCCCAGCGCCGCCTCTTGTGCACCACAATCACTGCATCACCAAGTCGGTACATAAACGTCCTCTTGGGAGGGAAGAAGCGGGGATTTCACCTGGACTTTTTTTGTTTCCCTCCACATCCCACCCTCATCAATCTCCCCCCGCTAGCTTTAAGCTAACGTTACCTGGCTCTCCGTCTGAAAAACATAGCTGTGTCCCCGGGCCGGTATCGGTGACGGTGTTATTGTGCAGCAGCAGCAGAGAGCTCGGGGCATCTCGAAGGTTTCAGATGCAGTTGATCCACCGCCTGTACAGATTTAGGCCATGGAGCCGCAGGAGTAAAATCCCACCACACCCCCCAAAAAAATAAAATTTACAAAAAAAAAAAAAAAAAAACGGAGCCCGGATCTGTCTTTGTGATGCTGGACAATGCTCCAAGTCCTCACCGCGTCTGACGAAATACCGAGAGCTCTGCTGCCTATTCGGCTGACGGTCAAGACTTACAGAGTGCACAGAGAGAGAGAGAGAGAGAGAATGGGGGAGTAGAAAAAAGCTCTAGTACTTCCGGAAGCTAGCAAAATAAAAGCGACCCCAGGAGCAGAGTAGTTGAGGAGTGTTATGCCAAAAAAAAAGTGATCATCTGCCAAAATCTGAACAATTATTCTTATGTTTATAATTCTAAATACTCTTTATGCTTTGATTACACCTGATCTCGGTTGTTTTCACCAGCTGAAATGGCTTTAAAGGGCCGATTTAACTCCTATAAAGCTACAGTTGTCCTCAAATTTATTCATACCCTCCCATTAAAGAAGAAAAAAACAGCTGTCACTGAAATAAGCTGAAATTGACAAAAGTAGCTTTTGAATTGTGGTTCAACAGAAATATTTTTTAAAAAGCAACAAAAAAAAAAAAAAAAAAAAACAAGAAGATGGGGACCCGAAAACTATTATTTTGTTGAACAACCCTTTGAGTCAATCACTGCAATCCAGTGCCTTTTCTTTAATGGAAGAGTATGAATACATTTGAGGATGACTGTATATAACTGCAGCTGCCATGTTGGTAATAATGTATCAAAATGACTCCATTTAATCAGGTGTGGCTTTTATAATTATAGCTATATAATAATAATGTTTCTTGTTTTGTTTGTATTGCTTGCTCTCCGTCTGCTGTCCCCACTCCAACCCTTTCTGCTATCCCCAATCTCCCACTGAAACCCCAACTGGTCGAGGCAGATGGCCGCCTTCCCTGAACCTGGTTCTGTCTGAGGTTTTTTCTGTTAAAATTTTAAAATTTTAAAATTTTAAGATCTGCACCTTACTATGTTAAGCACTGTGAGATGACATCTGTTGTGAATTGGCACTATTATATATAACTGAATTGAACTGAATGATATATAATAGATTATAGGCTGCATGGTGGCTTGGTGGTTAGCATCGTTTACTCGTAGTTAGAAGATACCCAGCTAGGGTGCCTCAGATCTTTCTGCGTGGTGTTTGCATGTTCTCCCCCGTGTAGCGTGGGTTCTCTCCGGGTTCTCCAGTTTCCTCCCACGGTGGAAAAACATGCTGAGGTTAATTGGTGACTCTAAATTGTTCGTAGGTATGAATGTGAGTGTGCATCTGTCTCTAAGGCTACGTTCAGACTGCAGGACTTAATGCTCAATTCGAATTTTTTGTGAAATCCGATTTGATTGCGAGTTCATTCACATTTCCAATTAAATGCGACTTGTATGTGATCTCCTGTGTGACCGTCATACAACCCAAAAGTGTTCCACATGTGCAGATGAGGACACAACAACATCACACGCAGTGAGCGTGCTCAGTGAAGTAAACATGGATGGTAACAGTGGAGCGTATCTTGCAGTTTTAAAGTTTTTAGAAAAACTTTAAAATCACCCAACACTCCCCCGCCACAGTGGAACAGAACTGCGTACACTATCCTAGCTGGCATCAGCAGCCAAGTACTGCCTGTGTGGTCCGGCCACTTCCACCCCATTGGAGCGCACCCCCAGGGTGGAAGGGTCCCCCCCGACCACGCCTAATATCCAGATATTCATCATTAATTGAGTCCAAATATCTAGAGACCAGAAAGTGCTATTCGGACCAGCTCTAGTTTGTCATGTATTAATGACGTGTAGGTTGGATAAATGCGACCTGGCCGTTCAGACAGAAGTTGCATGACAAAAGATCAGATATGTATCGGATTTAGGACCACATATCCAAATGACCTGGGTCGCATTTGAAAAAATCTGATCTTTGTTGTTCAGACTATCATCAAAAGATCGATACAGGTCACATGGGGCAAAAAAAAATCAGATTTGGGTCACTTTAGTCTGCTGTCTGAACCTAGCCTAAATGTAGCCGTGATAGACTGGCGACCTGTCCAGGGTGTCCCCTGCCTTTGCCCTAAATCAGCAGGGATAGGCTCCAACCCCACCACGACCCTCGTGAGGATTAAGCGGTGTATAGATAATGGATGGAAGGATGGATGGATGGATGGATAATAGATTATAGTATTGCAGGATTATTTCTGCATGTGTTTCATATCCTTGTTTACATTTAAACACAAGACTGTAATTAAGATGATTTACAGATATAATACAGTATATTGTCTCTCTTGCATTTATTCTCCAGTAAAATAGAATCCCTGTGAGTAATGGAATAATTTTAATGCAACATTACGATTATGGCATCTGCAGTCACTTTTTGACAGGAGTAAAACTGCATTATAGGAGTTGTTGGATTGGACTTCAAAGCAATTTCAGCTGATGAAAACAACCAAACTGTGTATAATCCAGGTCACAGAGCATTTACAATTACAGACATAACAATAACTGTGGCCACTGATCAGTTTTGGGCAGACGGTCACTTTTTGGCAAAACATCGGAACTCTACAAATACTTGTGAAAACCAGTGTTGTCATAAAGTTCTTTCAAAAAACAAAAAGCAAAAAACAAAACAGGCCTATTAATTCCCTTAAAATATTTATGTCTGTACATGTTAGGAGAAGAAGTACATTTTCTACAAATGTTCAAACTTTGTAAGCTCTTCACCTTACTGTGTCAAGTGCAATTACACAACATCTGCTGTGAATTGGCGCTATATAAATCAAACTGAGTTGAACTGAATAGCTAGTTTTTATTGTGGTAATACTTATTAAACAGGTGACCAAATGCCGATGCAGCAAGTTTGCTGGTTACATATTTAAGCAAAATTATATTTGATCTAATTTAGAAAAAGTGCTTTTTTTTTTTAAGACACGCCAAATTATCTGTGTTTGTTTTTATGGTAATTGAACACTAAAACATTAAATAGAAAATATAAATTTTGGCAAGATGCGCGTCTATGAAGGGGCCATTGGCATTGGAAAATAACTTTAGTCTGTATTGCACAGTGTTGCCTAATTCTAGTCAACCAGTACTTCTTCACAACCTTTCTGTTGCTGTTCACCTCTTCTGAGTCAACCCAAGTGTGGAAGCAGGTGACGGAGGTTTCATACTAATACAGTAGTTATTTATCTGGTAGTCTGACTGAAAAGGCCTGATTTAGATTAAAAAGATGAACTTACATTCCACTTATCTGTCTGTCTTTTGTTATTCCTGTGGCCATATGTCTTCTAACATCAGTATGTTCTACATCATATTGTCTGAGAAGCCTTGTACAGTCAAGCACACTAATCACTCCGCACTAATGAAACACAAATTTCATCTTTCTCTTAAGATTACACACATTATACACACACAGCCAGAAGCAATTCAAGAATTTATTTCAACAGAACATACAACAGGAAAAACACACAAATAAGTAATAGATATAATATAAAGAACAATGTTAAAAAAAATAAAAATAAAAATCTGTAAAGAGTTTTTTTTTTTTTTTTTTTAATTTAACAGGATCAGTGTCGCCTAAAAAGACATCCACAGACTAAAACAGTATATCGATCCTTGCCACATGTTTTGCTGGAGCTAGCTTGGCAACAGTCTTTATCCAGAAAGAGCATCAACATGTTGGTCCAGATGCTGCCCTGGAAGAAAGCCCATTGACGGAGCCATCAGTGTCACATCCAGCACCCACCGTTAGTTCAGGCATTTCCACTGTGGATTGTTTTATTTTGGCATTTCCTGTCTTGTTCTTGTACTCTCCCTCTGTCTCAGGTGTCTTTACACGTCCTGGTCTTTACCTGTGGGATTACCTGCCCTACCCTAATGTGCTCCACCTGTGTGTGTGTGTGTTGTCCTTCCAGGCCTAGTGTGCATTCTTCTTGACCAGTTTCTCTTGTGTCGGCGTTTTTACACCTGTCGCTGTGCATTTTGGGTCCGTTAGTCCCTGCTTCCTAATTATCAGATCGAGGTGCTGGCTACAATCTACTGGCTTGCTGGTGAAGACTCTAATAAGAATCTTTGCAACATTGCGAGCTACAGTCTGCAGAACCATCCATAATGTTGTGAAGAAAATGACTCATTTCCTCAAACAGGAGGAGATGGAGGAGGTGTGGGCTGACGTTGCTCACCTGGCTGGTCGTGAGGCATTCTGCTGTGCTGCTGGTGCCATTGACGAGTGTTACATTCTGAATTGTCCTCCTGCAGAGCCACAGAAGAAGATCTTATATGAAAAAAGACATTTCCCTCTCGTAGGGCATCCATGATAGATGTGTACATCGGCAATCCAGGATGGGGATGTGAGACACTTGTCCTGCGTAGATCACCGACATACCAGCAGGTTCTGTATCCGTCAGCTGGGTACTTTTTGTTGGGCGATGGAGGGTGCCCATTACTGCAGCATTCTGTTGCCATAATGACGCTGTACCGTCAACCTGTGACAAGTAAGAATGCTCTTTTATAATTCATAGACATGCACACTAAGGAGACATGGGAAATTCTTATGATGGTGACCTGCAAATGCAAGTTCCATTTTCTATGTGCCATACAAGACACCAAGCAAAATGAAGGAACATCATAAAAGGAATAGTCACTCCTTTTTTACCCGGAGAACCGGTTTCTGTTTGCCCCCTAGGTGATCGGTGCCTGCTGCATTTTCCACAACATTTACGTGGCAGCAGGAGGAGGAGGAGGAGGAGGAGGAGGAGGAGGAAGGTCCAGGGGCAGATGACAGCAGGGATGACACAGGTGGCACATAAATTATAAAGAAATAAATAAATCAGAGGTTAGGGAGTGACGCTTGCTGCCCACATGCCCTCAGTAAACATGCATCGAGTCAGTAAACTTCTCCAGATGCAGGTAGGTATTTAGGTTGTTCATCTGCGGCACTGTTAATTTTTTTCTGACAAATTAAAATGTAACTGCATGACTGTAAATTATT